AGTGTGCTAGCTGTTTAATGAGAAGCTAGTTTGTTCTGTAAACCTTCATCTAAAGTACAGTTAAAAAAAAAAAAAAAGAATTAACAAAGTAAAGAGATAACCCGTAAATTAGGAGAAAAAATTTGGGAACCATATCTAATAAAAGTTTAATATCCAAAATATACAAAGAACTCCTACAAAACAACAAACAACCCAATCAAAAAATGAGCAAAGAACCTGAAGAAATACAAATGGCTCACAGGCACATGAAAAGATGCTCAACATCATTAGTTATTAGGGAAATGCAAATCAAAACCAGAATGAGATGTCACTTCAACCCCACTAAGATGGCTGTGATTACAAAAATGGAAAACAACAGGTGTTCGCCAGGATGTGGAGAAATTGGAACACTAATCCATTGTTAGTGGGATTTTAAAATGGTACAGCTTCTTTGGAAAACAGTTTCGTTGTTCCTCAAAAAGTTAAACATAGGATTACCACATAATCCAGCAATTCCATTCTTAGGTAAATACCTAAAAGAGTTGAAAGCAAGAATGCCACCATATACTTACATACCATTGTTCACTGCAGCACTATTCACAATAGCCAAAATGTGGAAAGAGAGTAAAGGCCCATCAAGCAACGAATGGATAAACAAAATGTGGTCTATACATCCAATGGAATATTGCTCAGCCATAATGAGAAATGAAGTCTTGATACATGCTACCACGTGGATGTACCTTGAAAATATAATGTTGAGTGAAATAAAGCAGTCACAAAAGGAAAAAATAAAAATCATCCATTGAAAACCCTATGGTCACAGTTCTACTCTGACACACCTGAGGTCTCAATGAGTTAGAATCCACTCAGTAGCAACTGGCTTTTTTTAGGTAGAGCATAAAATTTCAGATTCTTGTTATTTTTTCAATTGTTGTAAAAATATGTAAAACCCAACACGACCAGCCTTCCAGACAAGTATAGAACACAGCTTTCAGACAGAAAGAAGACAGAACCAGGGGGAAAAAAGGTAAGGCTCTTTGTCTTTCCCTGCTAAGTCCCTTTGGGTAGAAACTGGACCTTCAGTTGCAGCTGAAAGTATGTAGGGCTCTCCTCTTCCCTGCTCCAGCCAAGACCTGGTTTTAAATAAGAATCAGGTCAAGTTGCATTCAGCACATTTTTCAGTTTCTTTAGAAGGATATTTCCAGGAATATCAGCAACAAAATCTTTTCTTTCATTTTTGGAGTCAAGATGTTATTCCCTCTCAATTGTATCCTTGGAAACTGAATGTATAGGCACATTCTCTTGGGTTTTGGGCAAGTGAGTGGCCCATAACTTACTCATTTAAAAAACTTAAGTATATCTGAAAATATATCTTTATAATTCTAGTGGATGCAGGAAGAAGAAATGTAAATTAGTAATTACCGTAATTTATACTCTGCTTGCAAACAGATACAACTCTCTATTAAGAGAAACATTTTTTTTTTTTAATGCCTAGGAGTATAGCTTCCGAGATGATAAATTTGGGACTGTACAATTTTTACCTTTGACTAAAATAAGGAAGATGAGTGAGCTCCTCGGTTATTTATATTTGTCAGCCCCATGGAAAGCTAAACTCTAATAATTGGAAGGCATAAAAGCACTATATAAATGTAAAATGGTATATAATCACAATTAATTTTTTTCTTTATCATAAGGTTGAGTAATTTTACTCTCTTCTATTTTAAATAAAATTTGAAAACAAAAATTTTCATTTTGAAAATCAATATTTAAAACTAAAACTGAACATTATTGCTTGGCTTAATGTCTTCTATTCATGGTCCAGAACATAACGTCACAATACATGCCCCAAAGGGGAAGTTCAAAAGGGTAACTTTGGGGAAGTGTTGTCAGTCACTCAATTCCATTTGAAGTCTTTGGAAACAAGGTTGTCCATCACCTTTATTTTCTGAGTGACTCTAACTGAACTGGTGGACATAGAAGACAGACCAGAGGCACATTTGTCAGCTATTTCCCATGAGGATCTTTATCCAAGCCACTGCATGGAAATAATATATTGACATCATCAATCTCCTTCTATAATATCTTCTTATCATTTCTTTATCCCTTGGTACCTAACACAATATCTGTCATTCACTAGATACTCAATAATTGGTTTCTGAATGGAATTAAATTTTCTGAGTTATCAAGAATTAATTCCACTCAGGATTAGAATTTCTGGTAAGGCCAAATGACAGAATTTACCAGGACCTTTGGCTCCCATGTTCTTCAAGTCAATTCCTTCAATAAGTAAAAGGTACTTCCTACCTTCTCATCATCTGAATTCTAGACATAGGAATCTACTCTATCCAAGGTAACTTTTGTTACAGTAAAGGTAAGTCCTGGGCACCTTAATGGAGGAGGTGCTTCTAATGCAGCACACTGTTGACATGTCTGGCTCTCCTGCATGGGGTTCTTCCCACCTAAATCATAGTCACTCATGCTTGCTATGACAGTCAGGAGCACAAGATACTAAAGAAACTGAGTTCCTACTCATGAACCTCACATAGCTCTTCTACTCAACACAGCTGTCTCTGAAAAAAATCATAAAACTTTACTCACAAAGATCCTTGAAATCTGACTTATGTTCAAAAATACACTGTTTTCTAACATGCCAAGAAATTGGAAACGTCTTCCATAAATTAATTCCAATACATGACCAAGTTCATCTTCAACTCTAGTTCTGAACACTATGCCAGGACCCTTGACCTTCATCCTGAGAAATTTATTCCCAGTACCATAACTGTAGCCTTCAGTATGGAGTACACCTCAGCATAAAGAAAACAAAAAATGCTCACAACTGGACCAATAAGCAACATCATGATAAACAGAGAAAAGATTGAAGTTGTCAAGGATTTCAATTTACTTGGATCCACAGTCAATGCCCATGGAAGCAGCAGTCAAGAAATGAAAGGACTTATTATATGGGGGCAAATCTGCTGCAAAAAAACCTCTTTAAAGTGTTAAAAAGCAAAGGTGTCACTTTGAGGACTAAGGTGTGCCTGACCCAAGCCATGGTATTTTCAATTGCCTCATATGCATGTGAAAGCTGGACTATGAATAAGAAAGACCAAAGAACTGATGCATTTGAATTATGGTGTTGATGAAGACTGCTGAATATACAATGGACAGCCAGAAGAAGGAACAAATCTGTCTTGGAAGAAGTACAACCAAAATGCTCCTTAGGCTTCATCTCATGTACTCTGGACATGTTATCAAGAAGGACCAGTCCCTGGAAAAGGATATCATGCTTGGTCAAGTAAAGGGTCAGCAAAAAATAGGAAGACCCTCAATGAGATGGACTGACACAGTGGCTACAATAATGGGCTCAAACATAGCAACGATTGTGCGGATGGCACAGGACTGAATTGTGTTCCGTTCTGTTGTACATAAGGTCACTATGAGTCGGAACTGACTCAACACATAGCACATAACAACAGTAACCATAACCAAAAAGATATAGCATCTGGAAACAATTTAAAGTAATTTGCTGCCCCCGAGCATTATACAGATCAAAATATAGACATATGAAGTTTTAAACTGAGGAGAGAGACGCAAAGGGACATAACGATTTAAACAATAATTTGACAATCAAAGCACCAAAAAAAAAAAAAAAAGAAGAAGAAGAAGAGAAGAAAAACAAGAAAAGAGGTTAGGATTTTGGTTTGAAGTGCTGATTTTTAAAAAACATCTTCAGATAAAGTAACAATTGTTCAGGTGAAAATAAGTTACAGGCTCAGAAAGATAACTGTTACAGATGAAATTTAAAAACTAAATGTTTAAGGCTGGTCCTTGGTAATTTTTTTTTAATCAACTAAAATGTAAAATATATAAAATATGGAATAAACAGTTATAAATATGTATTAACAATACCTTTTTGATAGGGAAGAAATTACAGAAACCCTCAAATACAAAATAATCTCTTGAACTGGAAGATATTTACATCTTTCTTCTAAAACTGCCTAGTATTATCGATTGAGAGATTCTAATGGTGAAGTAAACTCCTTTGAAAAAACATAGGAAATTTCATTACAGGGTATGGGACAGAGGTCTCCGGGGAATTGATGAAACCAGGACACTAGGAGAAAAGCCCTGGAAGTGACCCCTGGGCATGGTCCACCTGAGACTTGGCCACTTCCAAAAATAGGCAAGGATCTAGGGTGAGAAGAAAGAAGAAAACGTATTGTCTGAACCGCCTGGGTGTCAAGGGACTGGAATTTAGCCACTGTATTTTGTACTCCTAATCTCTCAAGGGGGAACGACATACCTTTTCCTCTCTAATCATTTCTCCACCCATCCCTCTCCCCCCCTCCCCAAACACACCCTTCTTAGCCCATTACTCAAACAGTGAGACTCCTAAAGGTACAACTTCTGGAATACAGGATTAGGATCCAAGAAATCAACACGACATTTCAAAGACACTTGAGCTTTGAGTTTACATACGCTTCCGGGACTGGGAGCCCAGCCCCGCGGGAGACACCCCCATCTTCTTTAAAGCAAATGCCTTTAAGGGGCGGGGACAGGAAACAGAGGAGGTCCTCAAGGTCCCTGATTTGAGAACTAAGGTTATGACAGAAGCCACCAACTTGACTGAAGTCCCTCTAGATTTGGGGAGGGGGAAGAGAGGCGGGAAATGGGTTGGTTCTCGTGCTGGGGCTACAGGATGTGGAAACTGGGAGTTGCTGCTGAGGTGGTCAGATAAAGGTTAAGAAACCCAGCGGCCTGAGACTCCGGGCAGGGCCTGCGGCATCTCGATCTTATCCATCGCACCAACTAAAGCCACTGCGACCCGAGCCAGGTCAATCACCCCCCACCCCACCTAACGCGGACGGAGGGTTCCCTGCCCTCCCCGGCCCCCCCTCCCACCACCAAGGCCTCCATCCTTCCCCCTCCCCGCCGGGCTCCCGAGCCCCTCCTTCGCCTTACATTGAATGGGCGGGTAGCAACTGGGGTCCTCGCCGCCGGGCTGGCAGCGGCTGGAGAAGGCGCTGCGCGGGGTCACGTAGTTGCTGGGGAAGATGCCCACCCGCTGGTTCAGTTGCCCGGTCCACCAGCCCTCGTCGCCGGACACCTGCGAGTCTTTGGACAGCACCTCCACCACGTCGCCCAGTCGCAGGGTCAGCTCGTCCTCGCCGGCCGCCTCGTACTCGAACACGGCCGTCCAATAGGGCAGAGGCGCATCGGAGCCCAGCTCCACGGGGGCCGCCGCCGCCTCCTCCTCCTCTTCCTCTTCCTCCTCGGCCCCGGTCCCCGCTCCATCCTCCCCCGGCGGCGCGGCAGCGGCGGCGCTCGCCAGGCAGCCGAGAAGCGCTCTGGGGGGCTCCATGGAGCGGCCGATCCATAGGGTGCGGGGCTGCCGCCGCCCGCAGGAGCCGCCGCCGCCTATTGTTCATGCGGCTCCGCAGAGCTGGGGGGACCCCCTCCCCCGACGGCGGCGGCGGCGGCGGCCGCAGGTAGGGCCTGGCTGCGGGGCGGGGAGGGCAGGGAGGGTGGCTGGCGGGGCTGGAGCGGTGGGCGGGAAGCGCGCGGAGCAGCAGTGTTCACTGCAACCTGGGGCCGGCGGGCCGAGCCCACGGCCGACCGCTCCGCCGCCGGTACCTGCTCGCAGCCGGTGCAGCCTCCGCCGCCGCCGGTGCCGCTCCCCTCTCCGCGCTGCGGCCCGCCTCCAGCACCGCCCGCACGCCTGGGCCACCTGACGCGGCCTGGCTCCGCCCCAGCCCTGCGGACCCTGAGGGGCGGGCGGCTCGGGCCCGGCACGCCTCGCGCCCACCGCCTCCTCGTTGGCCGCGGCCCGCCAGTCCCCAGGTTCCTCCTGCGGCGGTTGGGGCAGCCTTGGCAGCACCCGGCCCGCCTCTCTCCGCCCCCTGCGCTTTCGACACCCCCCTCCCCCCCGTTACCACCCCTTGTGCGGGCTCTCTCATTCTCAAAGCCCGGGTCCACCCATTTCTCTCTCCCATTGGCCCGCCGCTGGTCCAACCATTGGCCCATCGTACCTGTCCATTTCCTGGGCGAGTTCAACACCTCCCAGCAGGAGGAGGCTCCCGCCTCATTGGGTGCGCGAGGAGGGGATCCTGAAAGGTGATGCCAAGCCTTCCTTCTGACTGAGAAGGCCGGCGAGGAGGCCGGGCCCTTTGTTTGCGGCTGATGAGTAGGAGCTCCGTTGGGCTGCACCTGTATTCTTCATTCTAGAGGGGCTTTTGAAAGTGAGCAGAGGAGAAGCGAGCTGAGTTGCAACCCCCTTTCTTCTCCAGCTTCCCCTTACTGTTGGATTCTCCCCTCTCGGTTCTGCCTCTGCTCTAGTTCAGCGTGGTGGGTCAGCGTCCGTTCCTACCCGACTGAACTTTCACTATGCCCCTCCGCCTCACCCCTCTACCCCGTAACCTTTCGTCTCCTATGTACAATGAGAGGGGCCCTGGTGGCTCAGTGGTTAAGAGCTTCCGCTGCTAACCAAAAGGTCGGCAGTTGGAATCTACGAACCGCTCCTTGAAAACCCTATGAGGCAGTTTTACTCTGTCCTGTAGGGTCGTTATGAGTTGGAATCGTCTCCTATGGAAATCCTTTAGGCCCACTGGAACATGTTCCTCAGAAGAATTCTTAAAGCGACAGCTCTCACCTTTATGAACACTACACACCGCTCACCCTCTCCCGGGTGACCCTGTGAGAAGAGATTCCAATACCGTCGTTTTTAGAAGTGAGAAAGGCGAAAGACCACCTTGCTGGGGCTGACAAAGCTTTTGCGGTGAAGCTGGCTTGGCCTCTTGAGAGACTTCGCCTTTCTGCAATCCCCGGAGTTCCTTTCGCCTAAGGGAGTTGCACTTGGGATCATGGTGAACTCTGTAGAGATCAGATGCATACAAGCTGATGCTGCAGTTATGACAAGGGCCCGACCTCTCCCTACATCCTTTGGTTATACTCCGTTTTCAAACATTAAGTAGGAATGAGATGGGCTGCCCCCGATGTGTCTTCTGTGATTTAATCCTATCTTGGCAAGGTAGATTTTCAGTAAGAAGAGTTTTCCAATAACTCAAAGCAAGTCAGTGCTGAAGGATCTATCCGATCGCCCAGACTGCCTTTACCTTTTCCCCTTCAGAGGTAGAACGTTGTTGTGTGCCATCTAGTCCATTCATAGAGACCCTACAGGACAGAGTAGAACTGCCCTGTAGGGTTTCCTAGGCTGTAATCTTTACAGGAGCGGATCGCCAGGTCCCTTTGATCCTGCGGAGCCAAGTGCTTAACCATTGAGCCACCAGGGCTCTTTAGTGGTAGAATAGTCACACTTTATTTAGCAAGAGTTGGTGCTTCATTGGCTATTCTTTTTTAATTTTCGTTTGGGGTTTATTATTAGACAAGTTGGAGACAGTGAAGCAACTTGGGAAGATAAACAGAGCCGGCATCTTCTGGGTCTGCCACAACCTTAGGCAAGTACTTGACGCTGTAGTGCAGTCAGCTCATCTTTACAGTGAGGGGGCTGGGCTGGAAGCTCTCTAATGTTCTTGTAGTCTCACACTCTGTGGTTTGCACAGGAATATGGCTATGCTACCATGCCTAGGCATGCCACACATTTAAGGTCTTGAAGAAGAGATGTGACACAGTGCTGTTCTGAAGAGCACCCAGAGTACTTCTCAAGAAATGATTTCTGAAGTACATGCCCAAAAACAATGTTCAGGTTCTCACTGTACTAAAAAAAACAAACCAGACTCATTGCCATCCAGTCGATTCCAACTCATAGCGACCCTATAGGACAGAGTAAAACTGCCTCACAGAGTTTCTAAGGAGCGGTTGGTAGATTCAAACTGCCGACCTTTTGGTTAGCAGCAGAAGCTCTTAACCACTGAGCCACCAGCCCCTCTTATTGTACGTAGGATCAGTAACTGGAAAACATATGGATAAGTCTTTGAGTAAATTCCCTAGGTTTTATTTAAGACAAAACCATTTCACTCCAAACAGATGAGAGAACAAGCATGAGCACGGATGCTTAGTGTTTTAAAAAGACCGTAAGAAAAAAGATTTTCTTGATATAATTTTAATTTGGGAGTAAAAAGGAATTATACAAATAGGATATAGACACACACAGAGAAAGGGAGGAAAAGAACACTATAAAGATAAATAGAAAATTGTTAGCGATGGGTCTAAGTAGTAGGATTATGAGTAATTGGGTAATTTTTATTGTCATTTTAATTATCTGTAATTTTGTATGTTTTACAAATTTGGGGTGGGGAATCCTTGATCCCTCTCAGTAGGAAAACTCTTAATTCTCTGTGTAATTTAAATGTTTAATACCATACCATGTGCTTAGGACTTCATGAAGGAGTCATTCAACAAACATTTCAAGAAGTCATTCACTAATTATTGGCTGAATGAGTAAGTGTTAAGAATTCAAATGAGAGAAGATCCTTCAGGCAAAGTTGTCTGGAAGGGTTTCATGGAAGAGGCAGAACCAGAGCTGGTCCTGGAGGAGTATGGTTTAAACCAGAAAGAACGTATGTTCAGGAAAGGAGAGAGAGTGTGAGCACAGCGAGAAATGAGAAAGCATTAGTGTGCCCATTTGGATGGAATGAAAGGATAGGGAAGAACTCTGAAAAGATAGGCTGAGATCAGATTGCAGAGGGCCTTGTAATCACTTGGTTCACACTAATAATTTTTTTTCATTGTTTTTCAAAGTAAATTTTACTTTGAAAGTGTCTTGGGGTACATGTAAGCTTCTGTTAAAACAAAAAAAATATTCTAAGTAATTTGGGGAATGAAGTGGTTTTTTTTTAACTTTTTTATTGTACTTTAGATGAAGGTTTACAGAGCACATTAGTTTCTCATTAAACAAGTAATACACACATTGTTTTGTGACATTGGTTGCCAACCCCTCAACGTGTTAACACTCTCGGCTTCTCGATCTTGGGTTGCCCATTACCAGCTTTCCTGTCTCCTGCCTTCTCGTCTTTGCCCTTGACTGGTGTGCCTATTTAGCTACCTTTTGTTTTATGAGCCTGTCTAATCTTTGGCTGAGGGGTGAACTTTAGGAGTGACTTCAGTACTGAGTTAAAAGGGCATCCATACTCTCAGGGTTTCTCCAGTCTCTGTTAGACCAGTAAGTCTGGTCTTTTTTTTATGAGTTAGAATCTTGTTCTACATTTTTCTCCAGCTCTGTCTGGGACCCTCTACTGTGATCCCTGTCAGAGCAGTCGATGGTCACACTAATAATTATTTAATCGATTGTTTGTAATTATTTATTGACTGTCCAGTGTGTTCACCATAAGGGCAGGGAGTCAGTCTGTCATGTTCTCCATAGTTCTCCCAGCACCTAGAGTGTCTAGCACATAATTGGTTCTCAGTATATACTTGTGACTGAATAGCTGACTTGGGAATACCAGGCTACAAAGCCTGGGTTTTGTTTATCACTGAAGGTTTTTGAGCAGGGCTGTGAAGTGACCAAATGCTATCTTCACCAAGGACTAGAATACTCAGAGAAAGCTTCATGGATGTTGTTATTGGGTGCTGTTGAGTCAATTTCAACTCATAACGATCCTATGCAACAGAGTAGAACTTCCCCCATAGGGTTTCCTAGGCTATAATCTTTATGGGAGCAGATCGCCAGGTCTTTCTCCCATGGAGCCACTGGATGGGTTTGAACCACTAGCCTTTAGTTAGCAGCCAAGTGCTTAACCACTGTGCCACCAGGCCTCCTGGATGAGGATGAGGGGGTACTCAAGGTGAGCATGGAAGGATGTACATACAACTTGATTAATAGAGCATAGAAGGCATGAAAATAGAAATTAATGTTCTGGGTGGCAATACCGTAGACACCAGCCAGAGAAGAGGGGAGTGTGCATAAAGGAAGTGATGGGAAATAAAATCAACTAAATAACAGAACAGGAGATTGTAAAAGACTTTGAAACCCAGGTGAAATTACCAAGATTTCACCATTAGGTTCTTGAGCAGGTGATTTACAAATGTCACCCAAAAAAAGGAACATTTTCTCCACCACGTTGAAAAGTATAGGAGAAATCAGGGGAAAAATAATAGGAATCAGTGATGCAAGTTGGCACTAGACTTAAGCCAGAAGATCATGGTTTCTCCTGGCTCTTTCCTTTAAAAACTGTGATTTGGGACAGATACCTGTTTGAACTTCAGTTTCCTCATTTTTAAATAGGGGTAATAATAGAGCCCGCTTTTTAATGTTTATAGGATTAAAAGAGACAAGACATACAAAAGCTCTTAGCAGGCTACTTAGCACCCAGTAAATATTCCACAAACTCATTTCCTTCTTTGCTCATCACCCTAGGAAATACCCTCTAATTGCACCCTAGAAAATGTCACTGGCCTCTTGACTGGAAGTTGAACCTAGGGTTTCTCCCTTTAAAAAAAAAGGAAAAAGGGAGAAAGATAGAAAATGAGTGAGATAGGAAGGGAAGG